ATACGAAATTTAAAAAAAATATCCATTATAAAAAATCAAAAATAATATTTTTAAAAAACAAATAAATAAACACTAAAATAACTTTTAATTATAGTTTCAATACAATGCAATCACAATTATAAATATAACTATAGTACCTCGCAGCAATTCCAACCGCATTCTAAAACACTCGTGTTTGATCCTTCAAAGTAATGTCGTGCCTATTGCTCCAATGCCGTTGTCTCCTTCCATATTGATAATGACCTTTGTACAACACGATGATACCAACTGCGAAAAGTATATCAAAACAGCTACTGATCATAACCCCAAAGAAAACGCAAACATTTCCTTTTTACAGTCTCACTTGAGACTTGATTGATAGTTCTTATTGGCCCATTAGATTAGAACTTAGAAGAGGTGATTAATCAAGGTGAGCATGATGTTTTGTTTTGATTTTGTTCCATAAGCATTATAGATCCTATTTTGCAATCTAAACTATACCAAATTGTAAAATAATGACTACTAAACGGGGGAAAAGCCCCAATATTAAGAGACATGTTCTCATTAAACGATTCTTGTTGTGTAATCCAAGACTGCACAACAGTTTTTCCTTGTTATACATATTGCCCTAGCAAGTATCAAGCACTTCTTCCAGAGCTACTCAATTCTGTACACAAACAGATCATCTCTTCATCTACAAATTATATTAAAAAGAAACAAGGAAAAGAATAAACAAGTCACCTCCCATCTCATCCACCCTTTCCCTCGACCCACACCCTCTACATAACAACAACCAACCAGACCATATATGGAGACAAACCCCAAGAATCTAAACGCCATTGAAAATTAAATTTTAAGAATTCCTTCCCACACCTGCGCCAGCTTATGAATCTCTCACAACTTCAAAATAAATCCTTGCTTATAATTGTGTCCGCTTGCTTTCTGATCTTGAACCTGGATAATCACTTCTGTCAGTGTCAGAATTATCCCTTTGAGAATCAATCTCCAAGCTCCCTCCACGACTTCTATGGTGCCTTCTATCCTGTATACCAAAAAAATCAGTTAAAAGCCATCTCTTTACACTCATTTCCTTGCAAATGCAATGTATAGCTTATAGAAATCAGACCATCAAGACACAGATGTCATTACGCATGTGCTAGATATTCCATTAAGTTCAAGTTCAAATAAGTGTTCGTGCTAAAGACATGAGTTTTGATGCTAACCTCTCTTGGTATGGGATATTCCTCAGACTCAAGCATGCGCACAACTTGGCTCATCTTGGGTCTTTTACCAGAATCAGGATCAACACACCTAAGTGCAGTCAATAGGGCACGCTTTAGGGCTCTTGTTGATGTCCTTACCTCAATATTTGGATCTACCACTTCCTCAGACCTCCTGCTGCCAACCATCATTTTTAGCCAGTCTACCAGATTTACCTATAGACATAAATGTTCCATGTTAAATATAGGAAACTGGTACTTTAAAAGAGAGAAATTAATTTCTTTTAGAGGTGCAGCCATCATCCAGCTCCAGCCTAATAAAGTTAACAGATAGAAATAAGAGGTTTTTAGATTTCTGTATTTGGCCAGAAAAATGATAGAAAATATTTAGGTTCAAACTGCGCCATCAGAACCATGAAAGTGGAAACTAGGTCTTTATCATAGTATAGCACACTGGGACCTTAAGTCATAACCATCAGTTTTTCTCTTTAATGCACCAAAAAATAAGGGACAGGACATGACATTAGAATTATGATAAAAGAAATTAAAGGCAGAGCCAAAAGCGCTACAGAAACGTGCCGGTAAAGTGTAACTGCATTATCGGGAAGCCTTGAGTGCTCAAAACGATATTCACATTATGCTAACTCAATTCTTTAGCACGAAGACTAAAATTGTCAAACATGTGCAAATCCTTCCCAAAACGCAAGCATGGTGCCAGATTCAGCACTCCTACCTACTAGATTGTAAGGAGATTCAAATCACCAAATGGCAACTCATAACTTTCCAGACTTCCACAACTAAAGCAGTATAATGCTTTTTCTTCACAAGGATTGTATCAGTGCTTATGCTTACCTCAGGGGCAGGACGACCATAATCGACAGGATCTCTCCCAGTGATTGCTTCCAGCAGTAAAACCCCAAAGCTATAAACATCGCCTTTTCCATTCAAAAGGCCAGTGTTTGCAAACTCAGGAGCCACATATCTGTGTTATATTTAGACAGGGACAAGTGAATAAGAGATGATTAAAACTTTGCCCACATAGAACGAGAAATTTAAAAAAAAAATGCAGAGAGAGGATGAAGGGAGAACTAGCTTATAACTAGCTTATAACTTATAAGCACATGCAAACATGCATAAGAGAGAATACTTGCCCAAATGTTCCCATGACTCGAGTAGTGACATGACTTTTCCCAGCACCCAGCAACTTGGCAAGACCGAAATCAGAGACCTTGGCATTGAACTCATCATCAATCAATATATTGCTTGACTTAAATAGATAATAACATCATTGGTATACGCCTGTCCTGAAGTGAAAACGTCGGTACCGCTCACGTTTACCATGCGGAATAATAGTAGCCATCCGATGCGGACTTATCCTGATCCACTCCAGGACAAGAGGCCGAATTCACCTGATCAGGCCGGCCCAGGTTAAAAGTTTTGTTGGGCCCCATTTTTCCACAAAGCCCCAATCCATTCACATGTGGGCTGCTGCTGCTTGGGCTCAGGCCCCTAGGAAAAGTACTAACTTGTGGGGTAATAATATTCTGCCGCAATGTACATAACATTATGTTGCTCCTGACTTCTCCTTTCATCCGCTGTTACAATTTGGGACGTCCAATTAATGGGTTTTGGGTGATTAAGGGAAAGGATTGCCTCACAATTAAAATATTAAAAATGATAATAATAAAAGAAAATATTACCTATCAGTTTTACTTCCTAAAGGTTAGGAGAAAAATCATTCCAAAACTATATCGTTTCAATAAATTTTTATTGAAAAAAACTAAACTATGCTACTTTTAAAATATGCATTAAGGTAATTTTTATCATTTTTTTCTCCTAAGTTTTTAAAGATAAAGCAGATAAACACAAACCCCATAATAAAAGTTAAATATTTTGATCTCTATGCTTCGACCTAACCGAGGCTAAGACGCTTGATTAATGGCGATTTCCTGTGAGTTGTGCTTATGAGCCCATAGAATCTTCTTTCTT